GCAGTAACTTCTATATTGGACGAGTGGCAAAGGAAATTCTAATGAGAAATGACAAAATTTCCTAATGAAAACTATGTGAGATCCCTATTCACGTGAAAAATCATATTGCATTTTTGTGCATTGTACAACAGCAAAATGTGATGGCATGCTTGAATTAATGAATATCCCAAAAAACACGATTCGTATGCAGCAATATTGTGAAAAACTATTTTAATCCTTTGATTTCTTCGTAAACAAATACGAATAGTGAGGTTGTAGGTATTTCAATGTATTTACAGAAGACTGAGGTTGTGTTTCGATATTTTACTTCCATGGTCGGTCATCGTGCACGCGACCTATACAGTTGTTTATATTGAGTTCATTGCCTATACAACACTAACACGTTGTATGACAATTTCTATCGACATATGTCGAATTCAACATATTTCAGTCGCCATTCGAGAATAGGCCCCCTGGAGTGAAAAGAAACAAAAGCAGAATCAATGAGCGCAGAAAAACTTCCAGTACAAGAACATAAATTGAAACCTGGTTGTGGTTATATTTCAGGATTGGATGAAAAAACGGGTTTTCACTCCGAATAGCGTACAGTTTTTCTCCGGAAATAATCTGACGAGAGAAAATGGAAATGTATCAGCCAGCATTGTTTGTCTGCAGCGGTGGGAGACAATCCTGAAGCTAATCGATTCATCCTATGTTTCGCAATGATAATTGGCATCAACCGACACCAAACATTCACGAATTTAATTCAATAAACAAATTTGTTTCCTCTATTTCCGAAAACCAATAAGCGGTCACGCAATTCCTGTAACTTGTTTATGTAGGTACACACGAAAAGACCTCTGCCGACTTGTCACAACCGAATTTCCATATAAATTGCCTGTTTAAATTCCGAAAATAATTCCAACTATCCCCCTATTCTGTCGATTCGTTTCGACATTTCGTATGAAAATTGCTTTCAAATTTTCATGAATCTCAATGATAACTCCTTTGGTCTTCAGAAACATAATAATTTGAATTGGCATTGAAAATTATAATTCCTCATTAAAATTTTTAATTACCAGAATCTTTACAGTTAATTATTCAAAAGTATATATGCACTATCTAGAATCATCACATAATTTTGATTCGATTGCTCATGTGCATCAATGAAGCTATGGAAATAAATTTTGAAACTAAACAGGGTGTTTCGAAAAACCCAACAGTTGGGTTTGCTCAGTGAAAAAATGTCGTAACGGCATCCGTTTTCATGATACAAGGTGTTGAAAAAAAATTTTTTTTTCACTCGGCTACGCCTCGTTAAAAAATCAGATCTCGATCACCAAAGTAGCATTTCGCGCTCTAGAAAAATAACTATTCCAGATATCTTTTAACTGTTCATTGTGGAAAATGATGGATATCTCCTTGCGAAAGTGTAAGTGATATTTCTACATTTCGTCGTCCTAGAATAATAAGGTTCTATGTGCCTTTTTCACCAAAATTGGGATTTTGGTATATTAGGGTTCTATCTGATGAATTCTTCATTCTCAGAGGTCAACTATCGCAATCTCTTGGAATTCAAATGTATTGGTCATAATGCTGAGTTCTATCTACAGAATGTTTCTCTCTCAATTTGGTGTAACAACATCCTAAGTTCATAATTTGGTTTTATCATGGTCCTATCTACAACCAGACAGAACTTTGTTTCATCAAACAAATACATGTACACCCTTGTTATCCCAGTCGAAACTGTTTTTTTTTTACCCACATTTTCCATAAAGAACTTGAAAGCAGTGAATGGAAGAAGCTATACTACATCTTAGTAGCTGAAATTTGCCGATTTAAAAGATTTCGAAAGTTGTATCAAGGAACTCCAATACAAAAATATTCCTTTCTTCCCAGTTGCTGCATTGGGAGAAAGTGAACGCATTCAAAACAATGAATGCTGCATGAACGAGACTGACGGAAACTATTCCTCTGCATTCCTGAATGATCCAAGTTGAATCAGTCATTTTGTATTTTTCTTTTTCTATGATTCGAAATATACTTCTGAAAAAATCTACGTGCCGCAATTTTGGTCAACAAATTACTATTAATATTACCCATACACACATACTTATACTTATATTCATTGATTCAGAAGTGAATCTGATGACACCTAGAACGTTTCAAATTAGGTTTCTCGAATCTTCTTATCAAATAAAGATGTATTTTATTGTATGTTTTTCAGTTAGAACCTTGTTTAATTATTACATTAGAGAATCCTTCTGGAACGAAGTTCTATCTACATTTTAGATATTCGAATTGAAATCCATTTGAGGATGAAGAAAGGAAAAAAATCAACAGATAAAAACTTCAACCCATCTAAATATACTTAATCAGAACAAAAAATCAGATCGATTGAAATGGAACAAAATAGATGGAGTCAAAAGTTCGCAGCACGATTCTGAGCAGCTATACTTGGTCCAGATAGTACCTCAATATTCTAGGCAGAGCTGGGCAGTACTCGAGTGAATTGTACTCAAAATTGTACTCGAGTACTCGAAAAACTCAGTAATCGGTACCCGTGAGTACTTTTATTTTGACGTACTCAGTTACCGAAAAAAATCAAGTACTTTTCACTTCTAGAGTTCTGAGTACTTGTGGTTCCTACATCTGGCGAGTAACAAAGTACGAGTACCAACGTGCACAGACAAGTCTCAGCTTGTCTTGAATGTCGTGCCTCATTTTACATTTAATTTCGTGCAGTGGATAGGTGGGAGTTGTTATTGTCAGCATAATACGTTTACGCCTTATGGAGTGTTATTTTTGGTAAGTTGATGAGTATCTTCTACTTGGAGTCTCTAATCATTTTTTTCATTACTCATACTCATTACTCGTTACTCTTTGAAAGTTGTGTAAGTACTCATTTGCTTCAAGTACTTCTCATATAAGTTCTCATACTCAAACACTTATGAGTACTATTCGAAGTTACTCATTGTAAAGTACTCATGAGTACTTTAGTGTAGTACTCTGCCCAGCTCTGATTCTAGGGCGACGATTTGGCGACCGTGACAAGACAAAAACTGGATCGTCTAGTATACAGTACACAACAGATCCAGATATGCAATTTGTTATCGTTGATGTTACAGCGGATGTAACATGTTGTGACATGAATAATCCTCGCAATATCACGTCGCAGACATGCATAATTTCGAATCCGGATTATTTCGCTTAACGGAAACCGAGACGAGGTTTATACATTTCCATTTATCTGGAAAGCTATTCCACAAATACGAGCTAATTTGATTCAGAAAGTTGAACTTCTACTGTGATCTGTTGTCTGGAAGTTATATGTTTGAAACTTAGTCCTGACCGGGAGAAAATGTGATGATTAATTCAATAGAAATACGAATGTCACTAACCATAGGCATATTGTTGATAAAATGAGTGAAAATGTTCTCTGTGAGGGAAATTGAACAAGATTTTATTTCTCAATATATGTATGTACCTACAGTGTCCTTCATGAAGTTGGCATGATATGAAAAGAACTTTCATAAAAATAGTTTATTTTGAATTTCGACTAGGTTGGAGTCACGTTTCTTTCATCACATGTCGAATTAAATTTTTTTCAAATTCATCACTAAAAATAGGATTATTCGTTCAAATTTCAAAAAAGTTCACGAGGGAAAGTTGTTTCTTTATCAATTTCACCTATTTCTCTCGAATTTTATTTATTGCAACTTTTTGTTCTTGATATTCTTTGATTCCTTATGATTTTGTAACTAAGACAATTTAAATGAATTCTGATACCTAATGACAAACATCAACTTTGCATCGAACATAACAAAAATTTTAAGCGAGGAGTTTGTCGATGATAAGTGATTGAAGTTTTATTTCATGTTCTGGTTCTCACGACAAGGGATATCCTGTGATGTTCAGAGAACATCGTGAGAACCAAGAGAAATGAGGTAGGAAGTGGTGTTCTTCTTGAATTTCTAGAGGTTAAATGCCTCGGGGAACACCTTCCTTGGCAATGTGTTCCAGAGCCTCACTGTCCGTTGGATGAACGAGTCTTTGGAAAGAGATATTCTGCAGGTCTCCAGAGAGACCACGAAGGGGTGCGAAGCCTCAACTCGACGGGTTAATCTCGCGGGGACTGTCAAGGGAGGAACAATTGTTGATATTTCAGAAGGGCATCGTCCATGGAAATATCTATCAAATAGAGCCAGATCGCCAACTTTTCTACGGTGTTCCAGAGAAATGAGTGAGTTTGTGAGCGTGGCATCACCCACGAGACGAATTGCCCTTTTTTGGACAGAATCACAATTTCAGGGTATATTTGGGGGCTGTACTCCAAATATAGAACAGTATTCCAGGAAAGGTCGGATCTGTGACTCAAAGATCATAAGCAGCTGACTGGAAATGGATGTCTTCAAAGGTATGGTTACTCCTGACAAGCTTATGTTGGGCACAGAATGATATAGCTACTAGAATGGAATATTTTCGAGAGTGTTACCTAATAATTTTGTTTTAATATTACAGACTTTTCATAGAGCATGAAAAAATTGCAAAACTAAAAGTTGTAATGAAACGTTCAAATTCGATTCATAAAAGTAAAATTGGAATACAGAAAAAACTAATCTTTGTTAACTTTTCTGAATCCAAACAAATGAGCCTATTATCAGCTGTTGATTTGAAAAAAATGTTGACATGGAGCGAAAGTCACGTGACTCCGACCGAGCAGTCGAATTTTCATATTTTTCAAAGCAATTCTAAGTCAAATTTCGTAATAAACCATTATTGAAAGTTTTTCTCATTATGGCGACTTTATGAACGACACTTATATTCCGAATGGTTCATGAATAACAGCTGAAAGAATATTTATGTTTTTATTCAATTGTTGCTCGTCAAAAGTGCAACTTAAAAAATGGTATTTGACCGGTTCAAGTGCGTTTGTTTTAGGAATGTTTGCACCCACTTTTCTAGTGGGACATGATTTACTGAAAAATCACCCAATGAAATCAATGCCTTAATTCTTTCAGGGGTATTTCTGTCATTGCTGATCTTCCTCTCGGTGGCCGGCAATATTCTAGTCTGCGTTGCCATCTATACCGACAGAGGACTGCGTCGAATAGGAAACCTCTTTTTGGCATCACTGGCCATCGCTGACCTCTTCGTGGCCTCTCTGGTGATGACGTTCGCTGGAGTCAACGACATTCTTGGTAAGAAAAACTCCTCGGAAAATGTCATGAATCATTCGAATCAGATTTACCTATACCCTAATAAACTCAAACTTAATGTTGACAATACTAAGGCAATGATCCCCACAACCTCATATAGATATGAATACATCTACCTCAATCATCATGATATAACTATTGACAATAGCCAAATTGAATTTGTTATACCGAGTTCAAATATATTTGTTTCATGTTGGATAATAACTCATCATTTGGAGCTCACTTTGACTATATACGCAAAAAAATCGTACTTCTTTTCAAGAATCTCCTAGCAATTGTCAACAGCATATTCGAGAATAACTGTATACTCCATAATACAACCAAACTTCGACTATTGTGCAAGTATCTTGTATTTATTTGATGCAAATAAATTATCATCATTACAAAAATACCAGAGTCGTGGTATATGTTTCATCAGCCTCAGGTGTAATCGTCTGACCAATATATTCCTGATGCTTGACACATTACATTGGTTGACTCTAAATCAACGACCCTATCTGCGTTCAATGGTAATCATTTTTAAAATATCGAATAATCAACTACCCGCATGTTTCGATGAATTCATTGCATACAATTCTACTATTCATGATCATTATACAAGAGGAAACAATAATCCGTACTTACCATGATATATCCTCTTCTATGAAATCATTATTCTATAAAGGTCTCAATGAGTTCAATAATTCACCAACCCCCATGAAAGAATCGAAATCCGGGAATGATTTCAAGAATTTATCAATATCATATATTAGAACTGATTCTTACTATTGTTGGTTTATTCACTTCTTATTATGTATTATTGAAATACTATTATTATCATTATTATAATTCTTCTCAATATTATCATTATAATTGATTCATGTAACAGGGGAGTTATCTATATTTAGTCATAAAATGTTTAGGTTTTTAGTTCAAAAATTGATCATTGTAGTGTTATATTGGGATGTTTCCTACCAATAGAGATTTCATTCATTGAGAATGGTTATTGTTATGTATGGAATTGAAAAATATAATAAGGAAAAATGTATCCACATCTCTCAATTTATTTATTACGTAACTAATCAATCATAACATTCTTCCCATGTTTTCCCGAATCACTCATTGACTTCATTGGTATGAAATCAGGGTGATTCTAGAATCGATGTAAATATTTTGAGGACGTATTGTTGTATCATTGTTAAATCAAGAAAATACTTTCTCGTCATTTAATCATGTGCATTAAGCAAGTATTCTAATACTGCACGCCTCTGAAATAGATGTCTCAAATGCGTTCCGATATACGATCACCTCCGTATCCAAGCGCTTAACAGCTTAACCCATTCTTTCGAGAACGATGTCGTAACTTTCCCTTTCGTTGATTACGATTTTCTGGCAAACGGTTAGTTGTATGAAGAAAATGCAAGAGACCGAATTCTTGATTTGTTTTATGGCCCACAAAGTCAGAGTTTCTCTTTTGAACATATAATTTGGGCCAATAGAAGTGTAGACCCTCCTTCAACTCCCCCAAAACTTAGTTAACATGTTTATGGAAGTAAGAAGGAGATAAAAGGTCTATAAATAGACAGGGTCATGCCAATTTTCAGAATATTTGATTCGTTATTTTTTCAGATGAGTATCTTTTTTTGAACTAACTTATAGTGGCTGTAGCTCGGAGAGGAGTAAGGGGAGGGTGAATTTCAGGGCACATGTTCACATGAAGTAATGACTATTTATATATCAAGGAAAGAAAGGTATCAATTTCCTCCCGCGTGTGAAGTTTGATGCAAGACGCGTGGCGAAGGGCATTAAACACACATGGGAAGAAATGACCTTTGCTCCCATGATATAAATGTACATATATGATTTTATCAGCGAACTAATTTTCTCAAACTATCCTTCTTGAATTTGTGCTTCAGGCGGTATATTTCACGACCCAAATCAGTATGCATTACAATGAAGGTATAGTCTGTCATGGAAAATTATTAACGGTATTTGAACGAAAGTCAATTTGACACTTCTGTCATCATGAATTGATTGATTTGTATATTGTGTAACTGCAATCGAAACTTTCGATTAAAAGTACGTTCGGAATATGAAGTAGCGTGTATGATATCAAATTAGTGGAATTCATAAAGGATAAATATTATTGTAAATTGTTTTATAATTTTCATAAGTACAATTATTCATTGGATTGCATCGATTCCATAGGTATATCGACGCCAATTAAAGGTTGCATGCTGAAGCCAATTTATTTTACTCACCACAGAAGTTGCTCTTTCTTCCTCCCAAGGTTGCCTTAAATGAGGAAAAAAAGCCTACTTCCGATTCAGTGAGTAGATAAAAGTCTTTTTTTTATCGCTTGGAGCGCACAAGAGGGAACCCCTATAATGTTCGAAGAACATCGTGCGTTCCTAGGGAGGATAGGGACAGGAGGTAGGTATTGGAATTTTTTTTAACTTTTGGAGATTATATGTTGTTGGGAATACTTCCACAGGCAATGAATTCCAGAGCCTAGTCGTTCTATGGATGAAGGACTCTTGATAAAGTGCTGTTCGACATCTTTCGAGGTTGACAACGAAAGGATGTGCTGACTGGGCTTGTCTAGTTCGTCTGATTGGTATTGCTAGTGAAGGGATGATAGCAGAGATTTCCGAAGAACATTTCCCGTGGAAGTATCGATAGAAAAGTGGAAGGTCGCCGACCTTTCTACGGTGTTCCAATGATGTCAAAGAGTGAGTGAGTGTGGCGTCACCCACCAGGCGAATGGCTCTTCTCTGGATGGAATCTAAGAGCATCAGAGTATGTTTTGGTGCTGAACTCCATATGTGGGAACAGTATTCTAGAACAGGCCGTATCTGCGCTTTGTAGATCATGAGAAGCTGTTGAGGTGTAAAGTAGCTTTTCGTACAGAACAAGAATCCGAGGTTTTGTGAAGCAGCTTTTGCGATGGATCTGACATGATTATCCCATGAAAGAGTATTGCTGATGAAAATACCGAGCATAGACATGGTGGGCTTGGTGGAGATGGTGGAGCAAGACATTACAATATCGGGCATACTGAGTTCCGCCTTTCTAGAGAAAATGCAGGCTTGAGTTTTGGTGGCGTTGAATTCAACTAGGTTGTTTGTTCCCCAGGCTATGATTTCAGCAAGATCTTCATTGACAGCATTGCCCTGCCTGCGCCGTGAGTTCTTAGTTTCCTGGGAGGAAATGGGAATTCTAGAAGAGAACGCAGTATAGAGGGTACTATCATCTGCAAAGCTGAGGATGGAGCAAGTTGTTACTCCCAACAGATCATTGATATGAAGCAGGAATCCTATTTTGATCCCAATAATATTTCCTTTAAAAATTTACATCGAATTTTGCATCACCCTATATAACATTTATGACATTAATAATTCGATTCATGTATAAAAAATCCCATGAACATTTGAAACCATGACAACCAGAATTGTGAACGATTCTTGATGGCGTTAATGTGAAATTGTCTCAATATGGTCTCAATCTTACGTTGTCAGAAAAGTATCTAATTTGTGAAAATGTCGCGATTTGGACAGTACTCGAGTGTATAAATTGAGAAATCCATCAACAATAATGTGATATACGCATTCATTAAATTGTCTTGCCGAATTACACTCAAGCATCGAGGTAAACTCAACAGTTATAATTCCAGTTTTGTTGCTTTTAGGAAATTGAACTCAAGGAACTGACACATGAAATTACTCGTCCTACGGACTCCTAATTTTTTCGATGGCAAATTTTTTCGTTAAATCTCCTGGCAACAAAATTCTCATTGAAATGTCAAATTTACTTCGACAAAAAAAGCTCTCGTGTGATTTTATGTAAATAAATAGAAGGTTTCTTTACGATTATCGAAGTGAACACATTCCAGAATTTTTTATTCTATTATTCGTACGCCAAATTTTATTCTCCTGATATTTTTTTTATGGAGAGCATCGACAGTCTCGAACATTCCTTTCGTAGTATACTTGCACTTCATTACCAGATCAGTCGAGCTGAAGGACTTTATCTCGCTCGGATATCATTATTTCTTTTAAAAAGAAGTTTCTTTTAGGTTATTGGATATTTGGAGCCCAATTTTGTGACACTTGGGTGGCCTTTGACGTGATGTGCTCGACTGCCAGTATACTGAATCTCTGTGCCATTTCGCTTGATAGGTACATTCACATCAAAGATCCATTAAGGTGAGTCCATCAATATTCAAATGGAAATGCTTCTGACAAATTCACGAAACTAAAGCTAATTAATCTTATTAGGACTCTTAAGCGGCGTTCAGAACCAAACTTTTTACGTTTTGCTTCTCACGTTTCGTAATCTGATTGGTGAATGAGAAACTGAAATTGAACGTATATTAAACTGACGTAAATGTCATCCTCAACAAAATAACGTCAACGTGATTTTTTATGGGTTTCCTCTGTTGCCTCGGTTTTGTCATTTGCCCTAGGATGAATAGAAACGCAATAACAACAATGATATTGAATACATTATTGTTTATACACGACTGTTGAATTAAATATTCGAAATACATGTACTTTCTCAAGCAAAACGGTAGTCATTTTTCACACCAGTGAATAATTGCAGTGAATAACCATAATTCATTGGTCTAGAGATCCTAGGGTACGCGATATAACATACAAGGAACTATATACCATTGAATAATGGTTATTCACCGATATTATTCACTGGTGTGAAAAATGGCTATCGTTTTTCTTGGGGAAGTACAACAGTTTCTGGAAAAATAATGAATCTAACAGGTATCTTCGTTACGCTCGTGACATAAACTTAACCTTCGTGAATAATAGCCCTCATTATATGCGTGTTGAATAATATACTTATATATTCATGACAACTGGCGGAGACGTGAATTACTATACTCACAAAGAGAAAAATCAATCCTAAAAAAAGAGGTGAGACCATCATTGAGGTGTGAGGATAGGAAATAGAACTGTACTCATTTACTATTTCCTGAAATCACAATTATTTGGTATTTGTCTATTTTCACCATATTTTCACCATTTTCACAAATGATGGCATCTGGCAGCACAAAAAGCTGATAATTTAAATTCCCGATTTTGCTTCACCAATCAAAATACGAAACTTAAAATGCGAAACGTAAAATGTTTGGTAATGAACGCCGCTTTACATACTACTAACTATACAGTGTGGATACTTTAACTGAAATAAATTCGTTAGCGGAGGCTGAATATTTTTTTCTAAAAATTCCCGACATACGTCAATGATTTGATATATTTAACTACCTTTTGCAAGCAATATCAAGAATATATCCCTCCAGGGGTAGCTGAAACCATCCACGACATGATTTTTGTCCAATGTGACCCTATATGGCTTGTGACCCCATATTGGAAAGCTGGTGGAAAGAGGAATCCATCGTACTAGTGAAATTTTAGTTCTTTTTACGTTTGAACGTTGCATAACATTGAAATGTTATATTCAATATTTTTTCTGTCAACGTATCAATCGCTCAAAATGTGTGTTGAAGTATTGTTGGCAATTTTTTGCCACAACTGCTATCTTCAATTGTATTCCAATGCTATTAAAGAGTCGCAATGAGAAATTTAGGTTTTTTCCGTATTCCTAATTTGAAACGAAGTGTTATATTACAAACGAAGAAAGTTCGAAGTTATATTTTGATTGTATGCGCCCCCAAACGTACTGCAAACTGAAATATGATCAGTTTTTTTTTATGTACCGGTTCCCACGAAAACGGATATCCTGTAAGTTTCAGAGAACATCGTGAGAACTAGGGTCCCTTGATGGAAATTGACGTTAAAGTCATCTTAACAGGGTACGGACAGATCCTCGTCTCCTCTCACTCTAAAGTGTTTGTGAAACAGTGATATAGTTCCATCCTTATTCAATTCTGGGGATAAACACTAGATTTTTGACATTTTGTTGTTTTTTAGGTTATATTGAGGACACTGGCGTATCATACGTAATTTCCATATGGAATTCCAGATTCAACTATACCAATATATAGATGAACATTCCTCTAGTTTTAGAGTTTACTACTCCAGCATAATCTTTGCGATTCAGGGAACATATAAATTGTACTGAAAGCTCAATATATTTCACCAAAAGAGACTGTTCTTAGACTGTATACCAGGGTTGACTGAATTGACTAAATGAATTCTGATTTCAAGCTGAGTAGTAGTTTATCTATGAGCTGCATGAGCTGAGCCTTATGATTGAGAAATGGTGGAAACCTCGATGTGGGTATCTAGATTCTAGACTACTGTACTCATGTCATGTGTGCTAAATATATTCTCAGAAATCCAACTCGGAGAAGAATTTATGGAGTTACTTATATCACACTATTTATAAAACTTCGACTAGGACGAAAAGTAGGCTGATGAAAATTAATACATAAAATGTGCATGAAAATAAAGAATAGTATATACTTCACCCCCATGTTACACATATGATTTTTCCGTCTCTATTAAATGAAAAGTAATTTTCGAATAATTTATTGATGAAAGTAACAAAGAAGTAGGTATACGCTAAGTATACGCAGTATAACTTATAGGCACGTTATTTTCACTCTTACATTCTACATATTTTCTATTTGTGGTAGAGTAATAATTATATAAACTAATGTCTTTCGCCATATTGGATCCGTCATCTTGAATTTTTCAATTTTGACGAAACAATAATTATCTCCTACCCCGAAAACCCCCAGATACCAATTTTGAATAGAATCGGATCTTCATTACAAAACTCGTCCACCATATTGGATCCGCCATCTTGAATATCCCAATTTTGACGAAATAATTATAATCTCCAACCCCGTAAATCCCCAGATACCAATTTTGATTTTTTGAATACAAAATACAATCGGATCATAATTACAAGTTTCGTTTGCCATATTGGATCCGCTGTCTTGAATTTTTCAAGTTTGACGAAACACTCATCATCTCCAACCCTGGAAAGCCCCACATACCTTCCAATTTTGAATAGAATCGGATCATAATTACGAAACTCGTTCGCCATATGATCTTCCTCAACAAGTAAATACCCTGTACATACCTATTATTAAAATTTTGAATGATTTTCTGTAGCGCCCATGGATGTGACGTGACAGCAATGTCAGGGATGCCACTAGACTAAACTAAAATCTCTAGATCATTAAAAAAGAATACAGCTATGATCTGTCCGTACCCTGTTAAGATGACTTTAACGTCAATTTCCATCAAGGGACCCTAGTGAGAACCAAGTGAAATAAGGTAGGAATTGGTGTTCTCCTTGAATTTCTGGAGGTTACAAGCCTCGGGAAATACCTCCCTTGGCAATGTGTTCCAGAGCCTCGCTGTTCGTTGGACGAACGAGTCTTTCGAGGAGAGATGTTCTGCAGGTCTCTACTGTGTCCAAGGTGACCACAGAGGGGTGCGAAGCCTCAACTCGACGGGTTAATTTCGGGGGGACTGCCAAGGGAGGAACAATTGTTGATATTTCAGAAGAGCATCGTCCATGGAAATATCTATAAAATAGAGCCTGATCGCCAACTTTTCTACGGTGTTCCAGGGAAGTGAGTGAGTTTGTGAGCAAGGTATCACCCACGAGACGAATTGCCCTTTTTTGAACAGAATCCAACAGTTTCAGGGTATGTTTGGGTGCTGCACTCCAAATATGGGAACGGAACAGTATTTCAGGACAGGTCAGATCTGTGTCATGAGCAGCTGAATGGAAGTGGAATAGCTCCTGGCCCGAAACATAAAATCAAGTCTTTGGGATGCACTTTTAGCAATTGATCTCACGTGATTTCCCCAATAAAGGTTATTGCTGATAGTATTACCAAGCATCGAAATGGCTGCACAGTAAACATCGTCTGTGAGAGCTCTCAGTTTGTTTCGCATTTTCAGTGGTAAATCGTCGAAACAGAAAACGAATTTGGTTGAATTGTGTCATAAACGGGTAAATAAATCATAAGTAGTGCGATAGAAAGCGACATTTTTCCGAAATATTGGATAACACGAAGTATTCTCCTGCAGTGTTGCCAGTTGCTATTATTCATCGTAGTAACTAAATAATATAAGAAAATGAGTCTGAGTCAGAGAACTAGGAGTGGAAGTGTCACAAGTATGGATGAATCGATGATGGAATCTATACTAAACAAACTAGTACCTAAAATTACAGAGAAGTTCACTGAAGGAATAGAAAGACTGGAAAAGAAAATCGACAAAATGGAGGAAAATATGAATGGAATAGTGTCGAAACTATCAAATTTAGAAGGTTCAGTAGAATATTTGAAAATAACGATAACAGATCTAGAAAGGAGCCAAGAAAAAAGTGAGTCAAAATTCACTGATATTTATACAAAATTATCACTCTCGGAGAATTTGATGACGCAGAATAAGAATAAGTTAGATGGATTAGAGAGAAAGCAAGTAGGAACAGGAAGAAATTATACGGAAAATCAATTGAGGCTTGTAGGAATGATGGAAGAAGAAAATGAAAACACACTGACTAAAGTACTAACTTTGTTCAATGATGGAATGAAAATTAAGTGCTCACTATTTGAAATATACAATGTATTCAGGATTGGGAGGAAGGATGAAAAGCTAGCGAAGCCAAGACCCATCATTGTTACTTTCGTATCACTTTTGAAGAGAAATGAAGTTTTTCAAATGAGAACTACGTTGAAAGGTTCCAAAATATTCATCAACGAGGAGTTAGCACATGCATCATATAAACTTCTACTAGCAACAAAATCGAAATTCGGCAGTAATGCCGTATGGACCAAGAATTGTAGAATTTTCGTTAAGGTTGGCAACGTTGTGCATTGGATACGCGTAGACACTGATCTAGCGAGATTATAAGTAGTAGTAGTATTGTGGGGAGGCTGTAGCCAGGCAAGTAGGCCCCCATGGGCCCTTTTTGCCAACCCCTGCTCTCCACATATCTACACATCCCTCTTTTAGTTGTCCTTTTCGAACCTTCCCGTCCTTCTGATGAAGGTCAGGATGTCCGTCCACTCTAATTCGACCAAGTCTTCCTGTTGTAGTTTATCTACTCCAAAGATTTCGAATCTCATCCTTCCATACGCCTCACACTCTCCGAGGAAGTGAAGTGATGTCTCCTCATCTTCTCCGCATTCGCGGCAAGTGGGACTATCTTCCACACCTATGAGTGATAGGTGTCTGCGTAACCTGTTATGCCCTGTTAGTAT